TGGCAGATGACAGCAGAGAGTTCTTTTCTTGTATAGGCTGTCAGATGTACAGCGATTCAACTGGTTGTAGAGTGCCAGACCGATTTACCTAATGCAGATATGCAGTATACTTGCGTTCAGCTTTAACTTCAGGATCAAGTGTAAATTTTCTTTTGCATATTACAGGTCGTATAGAGAATTTAGAACAATGTCGATGTTGTAAAACATTGGGCTAGATGGACATAAGTGTCCTATCAAATTTTGAAACTCATTGTTCCACTGCTTCTTTTTACAATCAGCTAAGGCTGTCTTTAAGACTTGTTAATTCTTTGTCTTGGATCATTTTTGTGCTTCAGCTTTAAGTGAAAGCATTCGATTCTACTGATGTCCGATGTTATCAACTGCAACTAATTTAGGAACCCAAAAGCTGGTGCACTGGTAACTGCAACTTTTTCGTCTGTTTATTCATAGTTGTTTTGTCTTAAGATTTGACTCTCCAAGCACATCCCCCATCACAATCAAATATATCCAGTTAATAATATATTAGAAATTATTGCCATGTACATTCTATAATAAAATAATTCTTATTCATAAATGTATTTGTTTAAAACCGTGCATCGCATGGGTGCTAATAGTTATTCAACATGTGTATAAGCCTCTTACTCTTGCAAGTTTTGATCTATAATAAATTGCCTCCCTGACTTTCCTCTAAAAGAAATAACCTTTGTCAAAAACATGTCATAAGTAGAGTATAAAATAGGATATACTCATAATATATTGAACATTTATATTATATTATTGTACTCCATAAGGTAAAAATGTATGTTTGCTCTATGTTTTTTTTGCTAATGATTTTGTAATTGAACCTGAGGAAATAAGTTGAACCTGTTAATACCATTTGTGTGTACGTGTGTGCGCGTGTGCTGAACTTGGCATTAAGGAGGATAATTAAGTGGAAGTGTGGAATTGAATGGATTATTCAATGTTTTATACAATCTCTGTGAACTACTTAGGTTTTTCTCATAGTTTTTGATAACCATCTCAAATAGTCCAAAGTGTTTGTTAGAATTTCTTGAGAAAATTATGCACATTTAAAGGCCAGAATTTTATCCAACATGCTTTCCAAATTATGGGATGAGTACACTTACAATTTCTTGGAACCCTTAAAAGTTCCTTTCATCCTATCTAGTATTTACTGCATTTCTTAGAAGAGCTTTTTCTCGTGTAATTACCTTCACTGGTGTCTTAAATGTTGAACATGTGATTAAAGTTTATTGTGTTTTCTGTAGTTGTGGTGCTGAGACCCATGATGCAAAGTCTTGCATGGACAGACCTCGAAGAGTTGGAGCAAAGTGGACAGGGAAACACATTGCACCTGATGAAATAATAGATCAGAGGAAATTAAGCTGGATTACGATGGGAAACATGACAGATATAATGGTTTTGATTCTGCAAGTTATATCTATGTTGTTCATAAATTTGAGATGAAGGAGGCAGCAATAGAAAGATACAAAAAGGAACAACAGTTGAAAAAGCTCGAGAAGAAAAATAACACTGGTGAAGAAGGTGAGGGCGAGGAAGATGCTTTGAAGGTTGATGAGAGTAAACAAATGGACTTTGCAAAGGTTGAAAAACGTGTACGTACAACTGGTGGAGGAAGTACTGGAATTGTAAGAAACTTGCGTATCCGAGAAGATACAGCCAAATGTTTATTGAACCTTGATGTTAATTTGGCCTACTACGATCCTAAAACCCGGTCCATGCGTGAGGATCCTCTTCCTGATGCTGATCCGAATGAGAAGTTTTATGCTGGTGGTTATCAAAATCTACTCAGTGGTCAAGCTTTGGAGTTGAAGCAGCTAAATTTACATGCTTTTGAGGCATTTGATAAGGGACAGGATGTGCATATGCAAGCAGCTCCTACCCAAGTCGAGTTGCTTCACAAGAACTTTAAGGTCAATAAAGAGAAGTTGAAAACCCGGGTGAAGGATACCATAATGATGAAGTATGGCATTGCTGCAACCGAAGAGGAGATTCCACGGGAACTTCTACTTGGTCAAAGTGATGGACAAGTTGAATAAGATTGTGCTGGCCGGATAATTAAGGGGCAGGAGATGGCCGTTCCCAAGAGTAAATATGAAGACGTCGTGTACACTAATAATCACACAACTTTTGGGGGTACAAATGCTGCAAGCAGGCAATTCGAAACAGCTATTGTACAGGTGCTGCCGGGATTGAGGCTGCAGAGGCATTATGAGAGCTGATGAATGCTAATATCGCTCTCAAAGAGGCTTCAGAAGAAAAACCGGAGTTGACTAAGGAGAAAAGGCTGGCTACTTAGTGTACAGAGTTTTGGTTCTTGATGAAAAGAAGCTTGCTGAAGCTATTAAAAAGGAAAATGCAAAGAAGAAAGAAGAGAAGGATGAAAGGAAACGTAAATACAATATCAAATATGACAACGACGTGACACCAGAAGAAATGGAAGCTTTCAGAATGAAGAGGATCCACCATGATGATCCTATGAAGGATTTCCTGTGAACCTATTCTGTTATACTCCATTCTTGAAATACATAACATTTGTTTCGGTAGAATTAAGATCTTACTATATTATTTTTTGATGGTGCTGATCCATGAAGCAAGAGGAAAGAATTCAGTAGCTGATATTTAGTCCAAGGATGCAAGATGTAGTTTGAACGATTTGTACGAAACTAATATTTTGGAATCCCCAATCTCTTGTCTACTTAGTGTATCACAGCAAGATATTGGTGATACTAGTATAAACAATCTAGGCAGTCCTAACTCCTAATGTATACAAGGGGGATTCAAGTCGAAACACTATGATGTGCACATTTTGTTGCTCTTAGCCTCTCGGGTGCAACTAATATAGAATGCAAAATCATGACATACTTCACTAATCCCAAATTTCGGACTGTATTTTGTACTTTAAGCAATTAACACATTACTTCGTTGATTATTAGCTTTCATTTATAAACGCGCTCTCTCATTATTCTTACCTTCTTATTCAAATCGCCTGAAATCAGAGAATACCTAAGCATAATGTGATTGTGTTTAAGCGAACCAAACGAGAGATGATAAATTAAAAACAGAACACAGAACTAGACCAATATCATAAAATTGCAAGAAATTTGTTTAATTACTCCGTAATAGTTAAAATATTTGAACTACTAGAAATTGTTACACTTGTAAACATGCATTCAATTCAACATAATCAAACTGATTGACAAAAACAATTGATTTTCCTTCATTTATTCTCTTCGATTGAAAAAGACGTAAAAGAGAAATTAATATCCAGCAGTAGATACGAAAAAAACTGATGCTCAATTCATCTTCAAATCTTCAGCACAAATCGAAGGCACGCAAGAAGAAGAAAGTGAGCAGAGAGAAAAGCAAGATGATCTGAATCGTAAACTCCAGAAGATTACAGAACTTCAATTTCTTCCTCTTGAAACGCTCTTGAACAACCTCCATCTTCAATTGTTCGATCGTTTGCTTCATCACCTCCTTTTCCTAAATCAATCGTTTTCGCTTAATTAGTTTCAGATACTCTGTTTTAGAGAGAGAAAGTAGAGAGAGAAGGAGAAGAAGAAGACGAAACCTGGTGTTGGATGCGATTGCCGAGGGAGGAGAGCAGCATAGCAGCTTTTGCGCAGCGTATGGCGTTGTGAGAGGTTGAATTGCTTCCGCCATCTTCCTTCTCCATTTTCCTCTGTGATTTTCTCTCTCCTCTTCTCTTTTTTTTTCTCTCTCTAAAAGTTTGAAAAAGTAGGATAACCGCGAAATATTTTGATTGAGAAGGGAAAAGAAGGGAGAGGGCCTTTATATACGAATGCTAAATAACGAAACGGTGTGTTGAAGGCTAAAGTTAAAAAAAAAAAAAAAAAAAAAAAAAAGTTTCAAATTTTCGGATTAGAGATGAATAAAGTGTTTGTGTTATTTTGATAAAATGACAATTGACTACTAATGATCAATGATGCCAACAATAATCTAATTTACAATGTTGAATTATATGTCTAAATTTACTTATTAGAGATGTCAATATGGCTCTGTTCAATTAAGTCATTATCCTTATCTATTTGTACAAAAATACAGAGTTTGAATATATATTATTAATACAAACGAAACATTTTTTTAAATATTTTTTACTCAAGATTATAAGTTTTCTATACTTTTTCCTACTTTTATTTAATACTACTAGTCTCACACTCTGCGTGATTGTTGAAATACATTATAGTACTATTTATACCTGAATTCTTATTATTATTATATTGTAATATTGATTTAAAGTAAAGTTAAAAGATATTTTTCTTAAGAAAAATTACTTCGTATTGACTATTGAGTAATAAAGTAATTAATTTGCAACCTTTAATTTTGTACATAACTTGGATAAACACTTGTATTAAAATTAAGAGATTGTATAGTTCTTTCAAACAAAAAAAAACATAAAAAATAATAAATAAATAAATAAATAAATTAAGAGATTGTATACAAGTACATATGAAAACCATTGTAATAGAAGCTACAAGTTACTCGCTTATATAAGTGTGAATATCATTTTATTGCTATATCATACAACAATATATCACAATAATATAATTTTTATGTGTCATTTACTTAGTTATTTATATCATTAGAAACGGTTTGCATCTCACTTTGAGGTGGGGATTCCTTTACCCTTCCCCCCCCCCCAAAGTGTCTAGCCCGTTAATCCGGGTCGGAGGACTTGTGAGAGGTTCCAGCTCGGTAGGAGCCTTCTCCTTACCAACCCCAAAAAAAAAAAAAATATTGTATATGTCAATAATTACAATTTTGCCTACTTATTTTGTGCTAAAGTATATAGGGTGATTACGTTATCAGACCAAATCATTTGATTATCAACACTAAACGATTGAAGGTTTTGAACAAGTCAATAACAATTGTATTTATTTTACTTCGTATTAAATTCGATTGAAGTTTTCAAACAAGTCAATAACAATTGTATTTAATTTATTTAAATCAAAATAAAAAGCAGAAAATAGTGAGACTAATTCAACTTTGTCAATAAACAATCCATTCTTGTGCTCAACTTCTCATTCTATTCATCCTCATTTCCCCGCCAAACAATAAACAATTGCAATTTGCAACTTTCCACCAAAACACCGAAACTTCTTACGTGATCCAAAACCCCTAACACTTTCTATGCTGCTATCAAATATAAATTTCTCTGCAACAATTTCAATTTCGCCAAAATTGCTGCTACTTTTTTCTTGGATTTTAATGTTGCCAATTTCATCTAAATTTCTGCAATCTAATCATCAAAATGAATTTTCAAACTTTACAAGAGATCCGCTGTGAATCGATACCAATTTCTTCTGGTTCTGATGATCCCAAAAATGCTCTTTTCTTTCATCGGTTAGTTTGGATACGCTTCATTTCCTTTTTATTGAACAAATTTGATCAGTTTATTATATGCTGTATGATGTAATTTTTGGTAAATTGGATTAAATTTTGTGTTTTATGTTTAAAAAATTCAGGTCTAACTTCTGAAGTTTAAATTTGTAAGGTATTGGGAATTAGGGTATTTGAATTGTAGTTTAACTTTATATTCTATGGAGTACTGTGATTAAATTAGCAATGCACTACTTTCATTTTAAGTGTTAGAATCCGAGGAGAACTCAAGAAGGGAATCATTCATGTTGGCTGTTACAAGTGTTTCTCTACAAAATGATCTGGAGTGGGATAAAAGGGAATATTACTTTCTTAAATTTATGAATTCCATTAACATGGTACAAAATCAATTTTTGTTGTTGATATAGTTAGGATATTAGTATTTCACTATTTCCTATGATTTGGACAAAGTTTTTTTTTTTTTTTTTTTTTGTTGTTGTTGTTGTTGTTGTTGCAGATGTTTAGCTAACAACAGAATTTCCTCAAAAGAATTATACTTCTTCAGTTTCACCGGGAATAGGAAATATGTGACTGAATATTCCATCTTGTATATATTTTCTGAAAGCTGGTTATTACTGTCATTAAAACTGCAATTAACTATACACAGGTTTCCAGAACAAGGTACTGATTCCGTTGACCACGCTGACATACATTATTGTTCTATACACAGCAATGATGTTGCAACTGTACAGTGTATAGAATGTGTTAATTATGGACTGCCTGTCAAACACAGTTATCACTGCTCAAACAAGTGCTTCCTAGATGCATGGAAGAACCATTATTTGCATCATTATAATGCAAATGTTAGCAAATCTTGTAATGAGGATACTAAAGCACGGGGAACTCTAAATAGATGTAATTCTTGGCCACCTGGTGATATGGTGTCATGGTTTGATGAAAAGATAGAAGTGGTTATACCAACAGGGAGGATGTGGGTTAACAAGTTGGGCCCTTCAAATGCTTTAATACCATCAGCTGATGGTATTGGCTTTAGTTTTAAGCTCCAATCTGAAGCTGCAGTGTGTGCAGAAGAGACCCTCGTGACAGACACTACCATTCAGAAGCTAAATTTCTCGTCTCGTTCTCTTATTTGGCTACCAGATTCACTAAATACTGAGAAGCATGACTTTACTAAAAAGGTTTCTAAAGTTGGCAGTTTTAAGGTTCTAACTTATAATATTTTGTCCGACATATATGTTTATGTGGACAAATATCCTTACTGTCCTGAATGGGCTCTAACATGGGAATACCGCCGGAAAAATCTGCTTTGTGAATTGATAAACTATAATGCAGATATTTTGTGCCTGCAAGAGGTAATGACTCAGATTTTCATGAACATTTGCCATCCTACTGGTTTATGCTTGATATACCTATTAGTCATATCTGCAAGATTTGTCATATATTGTGTCTTTGGCAGGTTCAGAGTGATCACTTTGAGAACTTCTTCAAGCCAGAGCTAGAAAGTTTTGGTTATTTTGTTGCCTACAAGAAAAAGACTAAAGAGGTATTTTTCCAGAGTTGTTGTTTTCCCTTATTGCTATGCTAAAGACTGATCTTTTCTGCTTCTGGCTGGCTGTATTAGAATATAATTGGACTAATCTTAGGTGCTTATGTGGCTGTGTGCTATTATGCATTCTACAGTTTGAATAAGAATATGTCTAGTCTTTTGGGATGATAGATGAATCAACTGGTCAATAACATCTTCTTAAGAGTTACTCTTGAGTGGCTCTTAGGCTATTCTCATGTCTTTTATTTATGTATCTTACCCAGGTATACACAGGTAGTGGTTATACAATTGATGGATGTGCCACGTTTTACCGCAATGACATATTTAAGGAGGTTATGTCCTATGAGGTAACATTAACCTTTTCCAGGGGTTTTTGTGGACATATAAGGATGAAGATACATTATGTTTATGATCTTTCCCCCCTTGGTTATAGCTTGAGTACAGTAAGTCTGCATTGTCACTGATGGAAAAACTGGAACTGAGCTTGAGGGATCATGCTAGAGTTCGACTGATTAAGGTCTATATTCTTATTTTGTTTGTTTTTGAAATTGTGTAGAATTGGATTTTTTTTTCCTGGTAATCTGAAACTTTCGTTTGCAGGACAATATAGCTCTTGCTGTCATATTGGAGGTGGTGGGCAACTCTGCTGAGAGTGCCGCATCTTCCAGACTCTGTGTGGTGCTGCTTGAATTTCTGTTACTTAATAATTCTATTGGATACTTTTGTTTATTAGATGCTCAATTTTTAGGTTAATGACCCTGTTTCTTTATTTCAAACACATTACTTTCTATATATGCAGGTCAATACTCACATATATGCTGGTAAGGGATTCCCAGATGTGAAGTTACTTCAGGTATGTTGGGATTTTAATATCATCTCTATATTTTGATGTTGGCATGCAGAACCTTGACTTGAGGATGTTTTGTATGTAAAGGTTTCTGATCTTGTCAATGAGATAGAAAAGACTATTGACCCAAAAATGCCTCTCTTTATATGTGGGGATATGAACTCTTTTCCTGGAAGGTGAGACACCTAAATTCAGCTATGAGATTTTGAATAATTTTGACATGGATTACATGGTGAATATTGGGCTTTCTTGTTTCTATATGAGTCTTAGCTGTTGGGCTTGGGTCACCCACTTTGTCGGGCCGCACGCACACGCCACTCCACATTAATATGATATTGTCTGCTTTGGGTCTGGCCCGCACGGATTTGTTTTTGGGCACCTTTCCAAAAGACCTCATACTAATGGAGTGTGCTTCCACTTAAGGAAGTCATTCCTTATTTCTTCCATGTGGGACTACGGTTGAACAACCCCAACAAACCTCCTCTTAGACCAAGGACCACATAACTCATGGCCTCCCCTCCAGCGGAACTATCTTGTACCGCTGCTACCACCAAGGGACACACCACGCGAGCCACAACATCAGGACTTTCGACGAAAGGCTACAACACTGTAGCACAAATCTCCTCATCTTGTACCGCTATCGCTACCACCACGGAACACACCACCTGACCACCATATCAAATGGATTTTCGATACAAGGCACCACAGATCTTCAATCGCGAGGTCACACATTTACGCCACTCCACCTTAGTATGATATTGTCCACTTTGGGCCTAGCTCGCACGGATTTGTATTTGGGCACCTTCCCAAAAGGCCTCATACTAATGAAGTGTGCTTCCACTTATAAGGAAGTCATTGCTTATTTCTTCCATGTGGGACTTAGGATGAACAACCCTAACATTAGCTGACGATACTTGTTGATAAATCTGACTGCGCCCATTGCAGCAGTTTCTAATGTTGATCTACTACTCTAGTAAATTTATCCATGCTTTTAAGATCTAAACATCTTCTGCGCTAAACTTTTATGTCCATTGTGTTTGAAAAATGCTTGTATGATACTACTAGTCTGCTACCCCTACCTGATTATGAGATAGTAATGAGTTGCTGTTGCATGAGTGAGTTTTTACTGTGCTTGCTTGCTTCCTTCCAAATTTGAAGTGGATTGTTATTGAACTTCTTGATAGCAAAGTTGCAAGCCTATAAAGTTGCCGTTCCTGCTATCTTTCAGACCTTAACTGATGACTTAACTTGCAGAAGTAGTTGTGAGTTGTGACGGGACCTTGATGATTTTTGGTAGCTTTTTAAAGACTGCATAGGCTTTAGGTCCAATAAGAAGAAAAAAAGGCTTAGTTACAGTGATTGTTTGTGAATTGTCGCTGCTCCGTATTGAGCAATATATTGACCGGCTAATTGCTGTATACTGTTTAAAATGGGAGTGATTATTAATGTTAACTGAGGATAGATCCTAAATTATACACAGGATCGGAAAAAAAAGGGAAAGAAAGACTTTTATCTGTGAACTAGAATTCTTGATGTTAGCAAATTAGCCTGTTACCATGCTCTCCACTTATTACAACTATTTTCAAATTGATTAGAAAAAGGATCCATTAAATCTATTTGTATCAGTCATGAATAGTTTCTCATGTTCTGTTTCTTAGAAAAAGATCTGTTGTTGCAGTGATCCTTACATTCTGCTCACAAAGCATGAGGTGGATATTGCATGTGCAGAGGCACCTGATCCACTATGTATATTTCAGCATCTCAAACTTCACCATTCAATGAAATTGGTAACTTCAGATTTGAAATTCTTATATCAATTTATTTGACACAATACCTCAACTCTTGTATGTACGGTGTTTTTGTAGTAGTGATGTTGTGTCTGATGGTACTGATTAGATGCTCCATTTCTCTATTATCCCAAATTATTTTCACCTATGGTTATATTTTGTTACAGTGAGTACTTCATTGCAGGCCAGTGCATATGCTTCAACATTTCCCAAGCCTGTCAATGATATCAAAAGAAGAAGGATGAAAATGAAGCATTCTAAAACAGGGGAGCCTCTTTTCACCAGTTTAACATCTTTCTATGGTAGCACCTTGGATTATATCTTTTACACAGGTATTTTTTCAAATTATGCATTTGTCGTATTGTTTTGCCAAAGCCTAAATTTTTATGTTTTGTACTTTTGTTCCCCTTCCCGCTATTTACAAAGTCATCTTTTCTTGATTCCTGGAAGGGGTATGGTTATATGGTTCCTAAACTCCCAGACCCTACCAATCTTTTGTTCAGGAGCTTTATCCAATGGATTGATGGTATAGACTGTTATCTTCTTCAAGAATCGTAACTTTTCTCAACCTTATAATCCACTTTATTATATAGATCACCTTTCTTACTGTGCATGTTTTCATTTGGGAGTTGATCATGCTTTTGTACCTCAGGATTGTTGTTGCTATGCAGTAATACTTATTGGTACAGAGTAGTTGCTAATCAAAGATTTTGCTGCTGAATGATTTTTTTGACCTGTCTGTTTGTTCACTAGTTATTCATTGGTTTCTAAACTCATTCTACCAGAGGCGTGCCATGTGTTAACCTACCTACACTTTTCTTTAGTCACTTCATTAATATCATTAGTCACCATATTTTAAACTATCATCAACTTGAATTTATTTCTGTTTTAAAAATTAGTTTTAGTTAATTCTATATTTTGTTCTTACAGTGGATAGCTTGGAAGTTGAAGGGCTCTTGGAGCTCCCTGACTTTGAGAGTGTGGGAAGAGCGCTTCCCTCCCCTTTGTGGTCGTCAGACCATATTGCACTCATGGGAAGCTTTCGAATTACTAGACCATTCTTGGTGAAATTGCAAGGTGCATATGATGGTATGTCAAGAAAATTTTTGTACCCTGGGAAGCTGTATTATGAATGTATTATTATTACATGTGTTTCACATTGAACATTGAAGGCTTTAATAGTGCTCTCTAGTCTCTACTAGCCAAGTGATGTACTTGTGATCTTAGAACATTCGCGATACCCAAAGAAACCACATATTCATCTGGTGTCCGTCATGTTTCCCAATTGCTCTCTGAAGACGATCTCATGAAGTCCAGATGTCTAATGATGATAGTATTCTCCTTAATTCATCTTTTAATTCATTTTTACTCTACTTGTTTCAGAGACTGTTTTAGAGAGAGAAGAAGAAAACTGATTTTGGATGCAAGTTTCGGGGAAGAAAAGCAGCATAGCAGCTTTGGCGCAGCGTATGGCATTGTGAGTCTGAATTGCTTCCCCCATCATCCTCTGTTATTTCTCTCTGGAAGTTTGAAAATGTAAAAGGACCGCCAAGTTTTTGACTGTGAAAAGAGAATGAGGAGAGAGAGCATTTGTATACGAAAGCTAATCAGTGACATGAAATGGTGTGTTGAAGGCTTAAATTAAAGCCCCTAAAAACTACTTGTAAATTTGTAATACAAGCTATACAACTATACAAGTATGAAATCTTGGATTAGTGACATCATCGTGGTTTTTGTGTTATTTTGACATTTTACTAACCAATAAATCAATGATGCAACTTTTTTTCCCCATAGTTTAATTTAAAATTTTGAATACTATAGAGGTGTCAATTGGCTCATTTGTAAACATAATAATAAAGCACGTTGTATTATGTATATACTTTGTATTATTAATATAAATGAAATACTTATTTGTAACAATTCCTTTATTTCAATATTTTACATAGATTTTTTTTTTCTTTAAGATTTCAATTGAGTACTATTTATAACCTATGATATTAATCAGCAAAGTAATAAACGCAACCCTAAGCTACATTTAAGAACGTATAAAAGAAAATAATAAGATAATCAAACATTAATTACACTAAAATGCGCATAATTTTATCATGATTTAATTCTAGAGCAACCCTTTTAACCTTTTTTAATCCGGTTTTAGACTACCTAAACCCGTACTTTTTTCAAACCAAGACATTGACGGTCAACTTTGCTCTCAACTTCTCAGACTATTTCCCATTCTCCCCTCGTTTCCCCGCCAACACTAAACCATTGCAATTTGCAAATTTCCACCAAATAACCGAAATTTCTCTCGTGATTTTAAATCCTTTAATTCTTTCAATGTTGCTACGAACTAGTATAAATTTCACTGCAACAATTTTTCCAATTTCACAAAAATTTCTGCCATCTTCTTCTTGGATATTAATGTTGCCAATTTGATCAAAAAAAATTCTATTCAATCATCAAACATCAAATTTCATTCTATTCAATCATCAAAATGGCTATTCAAAGTATACAAAAGATCCACTGTGAATCTATACCAATTTCTTCTGGTTCTGATGGTCCAAGAAATGCTCTTTTCTTTTGTGGGTTAGTTTACATAATCTTAATTTCTTTGTTTTTGGACAATTTTGATCAGTTTATTATATAATGTATGCTGTAATTTTTAGTGATTTTGGTTAAATATTGTGGTATATGGTTAAAGAATTTGAGTTCTAACTTCTGAAGTTTTGGGAATTAGGGTATTTGAAAATTTTTGATTACTTTATTTGCGCTTATTATTATAATGTATGCTGCAATTTTCGGTGAATTTGATTAAATTTTGTATTATATACTTCAAGAATGTGAATTGTAACTTCTGAAGTTTTTGGAATCAAGGTATTTGAATTGTAGTACAACTTTCTGTTTTATGGAGTATTGTGATTAAATTAACAATGTAATACTTTCATTTTCATGACTAGCAATAGAAACTGGAGAGAACTCGAGAAGTGTTGTTATTTTTACTTTTTTTTTTTTTTTTTTTTTTTTTTTTTTTTTTTTTTGTGATGAGTGAGGTCGAGAGTAAGAGATTTATTAAATATTCCGTGTAACGTATGAATCCTTAAAGTAGGTACGAAGCGGTAACTATTCAAGAAAATGGAGGTAGTGATCGATCGTGGAATGTGTACAGGAAGGAAAATAATTTAAATGTGTACTCAATATTGTCCATTTGTCCCTCTATCCATCTAATAGGTCATTTTAAGTACTTGATGGAGTTCCTTAAGTTGAATTATGAAGTGGGATAAAAGGGAATAATACTTTCTTAAAAATATGAATCCTTTAATATTACACAAATTCAATCTTTTTTGTATATACAGTTAGGATATAATCATTCATATGAATTTTGGACAGTTTTATTTATTTATTTTTATAGGAATACGAAGTATGTGATTGTGATATTATATGAATGGGCAAAAATGTAACTGCCCTTTGTTTCATATTTTACTTGGGCTAGTTTTCAAATTTTCTTTATTCCCTCCATCTAGTTTTATTCTGAAATTTGATTGTTATTGTCACTAAAGCTGCAATCAACTATACACAGGCTTACAGGAGAAGGTACTGATACCATTAACCACGCTGACATACCTTATTGTTCTATACACAGCAATGATGTAGCAACTGTACAGTGTATAGAATGTGTAAATTATGGACTGCCTGTCGAACACAGTTATCATTGCTCAAAAAAGTGTTTCCTAGATGCATGGAAGAATCATTATTTGCGTCATCGTAATGCTAATGTTAGCAATTCTTGTAACAAGAAGGATTCTAAAGCGCGGGGAACTCTAAATAGATGTAATTTTTGGCCACCCGGAGATATGGTGTCATGGTTTGATGAAAAGATAGAAGTGGTTGTACCAACTGGGAGGATGTGGGTTAACAAGGTGGGCCCTTCAAATGCTTTAATACCATCAGCTGATGGTGTTGGCTTTAGTTTTAAGCTTCAATCTGCTAGCCCGCACCATTTACGAGCAGCAGTGTGTGCAGAAGAGACCTTTGTGAAAGACCCTACCATTCAGAGGCTAAACTTGCCGCTTCGTTCTCTTATTTGGCTACCAGATTCACTGAATACTGAGAAGCGTGACCTAACTGAAAAGGTTTCTAAAGTTGGCAATTTTACTGTTCTAACTTATAATATTTTGTCCCACGTCTGTGTTAATATGGACAAATATTTTTACTGTCCTGAATGGGCTCTAACATGGGAATACCGCCGGAAAAATCTGCTTCATGAATTGATACAATATGATGCAGATATTTTGTGCCTTCAAGAGGTAATGACTCACAGATTTTCATGAACATTTGTCATCCTACTTGTTTATGCTTGATATACCTGTTACCCTGTTAGTTGTATTGCAAAATTTGTCATATATGAAGTGAATAATTGCTACGTTGAATTTTTTTATTTATTTATTTATTTTAATCATAAATTAAGACCATTTAATTTTATATATTGTGTCTTTAACAGGTTCAGAGCGATCACTTTGAGAATTTCTTCAAGCCAGAGCTAGAGAAAGTTGGCTATTCTGTTGCCTACAAGAAAAAGACTGGTACAGGGGTATATTTCCAATTTTGTTGTTTTTTCTTCTTTGCATGCTAAAGATTCTGGTCTTTTCTGCTTCTGGCTGGCAACATGAGAAAATAATTGGACCACTCTTACTCCTGTGTGCAACTATTCATTCCTCAGTTTGAATGAGAATATGTCTAGGCTTTGGGGAAGATAGATGAATCAACTGGTCAATAATATCTTCTTATGCATATTCTCATGTCTTTTATTTTATGTATGTTACCCAGCTATACACTTGTACGTTGGGTAGTGGTTATACATTTGATGGATGTGCCACGTTTTATCGCAATGACATATTTATGGAGGCTAAATCATATCAGGTAACGTAAAGATGCTCCAGGGGTTTTTGTTGATTTATAAGGATGTTTATACATTTTTTTTATATGATATTTTTCCCTTGGTTGTAGCTTGAGTTCAGTCAATCTGCATTATCGCTGATCGACAAACTAGAACTGGGTTTGAGGAAAGATGCTTTAAAGCGTCTGATAAAGGTCTATATTCATATTTAGTTTACTCATTAAATTGTGTGGAGCTGGATTTTTTTTCCTCGTAATCATTGTTTCTTTTTGAATATTTCTTTGGCAGGACAATGTAGCTCTTATTGTCATATTGGAGGTGGTGGGCAATTTTGCTAAGAGTGCTGCATCTTCTTCTAGACTCTGTGCTGCATCTACTAAGAGTGCTGCATCTTCTTCTAGACTCTGTGTGGTGCTGTTTAAATTTCTATTACTCATTGATTGTGTTAGATGCTGTTTGATTATTAGATGCCCACTGTAGGTTAATAATCATGTTTCCAACTGATTACTTTCTTAATATGCAGGTTAATACTCACATATTTGCTGATGTGAATTTCGCTGACGTGAAGTTGCTCCAGGTAGATTTAGATTTTGGCATTATATCTATATTTTGATGTTGGCATACAGAACTTTGACTTTTGGATCTTTTTGTATGCAAAGGTTTCTGATCTTATCAATGCAATAGAATTGAGCCAAAAGACTATTGACCCAAGAATGCCTCTCTTTATCTGTGGGGATATGAACTCTATTCCTGGAAGGTGAGCTGCCTAAATTCAGCATGAGGACTAGATTTTGAATTTTGCTGACATGGATTTCATGGTGTATACTGGGCTTTCTTGTTTGTATATTAGTCTTAGCTGACGATACTTGTTGATATATCTAATGGTGCCCATTCCAGCAGTTGTTAAGTTTGTTCATGGAGAATATATAGTCTTGAATCTCATGCTGAACTACTAATAATTTGATCCGTGCTTTTAACAATCTAACATCTTCTGCACTATATCTTATTTTCCATTTTGCTAAAAAAATGCTTGTATGATACTACTAGTTTGCCACCACTCCCTGATTATGTGATAGTTATGAGTTGCTGTACATGAGTGGGTATTTACTGAACTTCTTGCTTCCAATTTTGAAGTGGATTGTTATTGAATATCTTCCTTGCAAGCCTAATAGTTGCCCTTCCTGCTATCTTTCAGACCTCAACTGATGAGTTAATTGGCAGAAGTAGTTGTGAGTTGTGATGGGACCTTTATGATTTTTGGTAGCTTTTAAAAGACTGCATAGGCTTTAAGTCCGACTAGGAGAAAAAGGGCTTAGTTACAGTGATTGTTAGTGAATCGTTTCTGCTCTACATTTAGCAAAAGATAGACAGGATAATTAGCTCCTTTTGGGTGCTTGGATCATTGGCAGTATATAGTGTAAATGGGAGTGAATTTTAAAGTTAACTGAGGATAGGCACCCTGAATCAGACACAGGACCATAAAAAAAATTGAAAGAAAGATTTACATGTGAATAAGCGTTCTCAGCAGATCTTAGCAAATGTAGCTTGTTACCATGCTCTTATTACAGTTATAATCAAATTGAATAGAAGAAGTTCTATTTAGAATCAATTTATATCAGTCATGAGTTTATAGCTTCTCATGATCTGTTTCTTAGGAAAATATCTGTTTTTGCAGTGATCCTTACATTCTGCTCACAAAGCATGAGGTGAATGTTGCATGTGCACAGGCACTAGATCAACTATGTATATTTCAGCATCTCAAACTTCAACATTCCATGAAATTGGTAACTTCATATTCGAAATTCTTACATCTTTTTATGACTTTTGACCTAATACTTAATTCTTGTATGGACAACATTTGTGTAGTAGTTGTGATGCTTCTGATGGTAGTATGGTACTGATTAGCTGTTGCATTTCTCTTCTATCCCAAATATTTCTCTCCTATGATCATACTGTTAGTGGGTACTTCATTGCAGGCAAGTACATATGTGTCAGCATTTTCCAAGTATCTCAATGATACCAAAGGACGAAGGATGAAAATGAAGCATTCGGAAACAGGGGAACCTTTTTTCACCAATTTGTCACGTGCTTTCACCTGTTTGTCACCTTTTTGTGGTACTACTTTGGATTATATCTTTTACACAGGTATTGTTTCAAATTATGCCTTTGTCACATTGTTCGCCAAGACCTACCTTTCTATGTTTTCCCCTTCTCGCTGTTTACAGTCATGTCAGTCATCTTTTCTTGATTCTTGGAAGGGATAAGGTTAGTGTAATTCCTAATCCCAGACCCTGCCAATCTTCCATGGAAGAGCCTTATCCAATGGGTTGATGGTATAGATTGTAATCATTTTCTAGATTGTAGGTTTCTTAACCTCGAATCTGCTTTCTTATAAAGATTACCTTTCTTTAGACTGCATGTGACACTTTGGAGTAGGTAATCATAATTCTGTACCTGAGGAATGTTGTTGCTATGTGGTTATGTTGATTGGTAGTTGCTAGTCAAAGAATTTCCTGCTGAATGATTTGTTTGACCTGTATGTTTGTTCACTAGTTATTCATTGATTTTTAAACTCGCTCTATCATAGGCACGTTATGTGCTAACCTAGCTACTCTTTTCTTTTTTCTTTTAGCAGTTAGCAGTTTAGCACCACATTTATGTAGATTTTATATCGTTAAGTCATCATGTTTTAAACTGTAATTAAGTGCCATTGCTGTCTGATTTATTCATCAACTTGCATTTACTTATGCTTTAAAAAATAGTTTCAATTCTAATTTTGATTGTTTTTACAGCGGATAGCTTGGAAATTGAAGGCCTCTTGGAGCCCCCTGACTTTGAGAGTGTGGGTAGATCGCTTCCCTCCCCTTTGTGGTCATCAGACCATGTTGCACTCATGGGAAGTTTTAGAATTACAAGACCGTTTCTTGGGTGAAATCGCAAGGTTCATATGATGGTATGTCTAGAAATATTATATATCCTGGTTCATAAAATTGCACTAAAACATCTAGTAAAGATCTCATCATGGAAGTTGTGTTATGAATGTATTATTATTACATGTGTTTCAACATTGAAGGCTTTTGTAGTGCTCTCCACTAGCCTAGTGATGGACTTGTGATCTTGGAACATTGGCAATATCCTAGATAAGCCTATTGAGATAGGAACATATATTGTCATATGATATTATGTGATACCATGTTAAATTTTGGGGAAAATAATTCTTTGTATTTTCTCATTGTATTTTCCCATTCATAATATTCGGCCACATTACAATATATAGACAATAGTAATATCTAACTCTAATATTCCTTAATATCTCAACTTCCTAAAATCTATCACAATAACTCACATATATCTTTTCACAATAATATCTCATATGATACTATTCTCATAATATCATATCACAGTATATGTTCCTATCTCATAATTATCTTGTTTTTGTGATGTTTCCCAATTGTCTGATTATGAAAGTGATCTCTGTTTATTAGAGGTTACATAAGCTAGAATAAAGAGAGGAAGAATTAAAGTATGACGACATGTATTTAGCCTAGAACGTTAGCAAGTAAGTACAAAGGCATGTTATAAAGGGGAATCAAGAAAGGAAGTAAGGGTGAAATTTGAGAGGAAAAAATAATTTCAGTCGAAAGGCTATTTCAGTTAATAACGTTAAGTGATGCTGTGAGGTGATATAACCATTTGCTGTATTATATTCATTTTCCGGGCTTTCTCGTTGGATTTGAAAAAATTATGTATATCTTGAAGCCAGTTTGAGCAATTCACAAATGAGTGCTTAAGTCCATTAGGTTTCTTTCAAAAAAAAAAAAAGTCCATTAGGTGATGTATTGTTGATACCTTTACATGTCACATGATAAGGTTATATAGGATTGTCAATTTGTCATAATATAATTTATGATCCAGATAATACCCACATAAAACCCCCTCTTTAGTTATGTATTTACATTATTGAATAGTTTCTATCAAATTAATTTCATCTTCATATTATTTATTTGGAGAGCCATGTTTTGATTTAGTACCAGAAATTTTGAAAGATTTTATTTTTATACAATTATTATATAAATATAGTTGGAATGAACCACTCAGTTGTTAGTTTGATGTTTTGGTGGACCTTTAGCTATGAAAACCTGGACTGAAATTTTCAATAATTGAATATGAAGTATAAGTTGATTTATATGCCAATTCAGTCAAAGATGTTGGGATCAGAATAAATTTTATCCTTTAAATAGGCATTTTCTTCTCTGGTTGTTCAAGACATTACCTTATGCAATTATTATTAACTCATGAGTGATATTTTTTTAGCAGTATTTTATGTACTTTTACCTGAATTTGATGCATTGTATTTCTGTTTGAAAAAGTCTTGATTTTGAAAATCTAAGTAGTTAATTCTTCCTCAATCACCCATGATTTTCTTGAGAACATATAGTGCATAACCTATAACCTTTGTGGCTGTGCTTGAGGCCTGGATCTTGGGAATTACTCGAGAACATATAGTGCATAACCTATAGACATTACGTTATAACAGTTAGTTGATGTAGACGAGCTTCAAATCCAAATCTTATTACTTGAGCGTTTTACTTATAGAGGCCACTTCAAGCAAGGTAAATGGATTGTGGTAATTAGAACATGAAGGAAAATGGTGGAAGTTAGAAGTCCTATTTTATCCAAAGAAGGATTGGCATTTACGGAAAAACGTGCATATCCTTGATGGCTTGATTGTTGAGACATAAATGCAAGAGTAGCTTGATATAAGTTTTTGCAGCAAATACTGATGAGTATTAGTATTCCAAGCAAGCAAGATGTTAGAGGTCATTAAATTGAATAACTAGTCTGGAGTTTGGGCTTTAAATGAAAACCTTGTCTGCGTATCCAATAGTAAATGAACTTCCCTCCTACCTGGTAGTGACCCAGCCTTTATTTGTGGGTAGCTCCCTTATCTATTATTTTTTTTCTTTCTTTTTTTAAGTGACAAGTGGGAATTAAAATTGAGTCTATGACTATATTTATTCAATTAAGCTTATCATCTCTTTCCTGTCCCATTTAGATATTAATAATTTATTTAATTTGCATGATGCACGCAATCTCTATCTCTTTGTGGTTTAGTCTCGTGTAAAATACTTCCTTCATTCACTTTTAGTTGCAACAATATAACAAAAAAACCCTAACATTGTAGTCGAACGGTTAGCAACAAAAAGTGAACCAAGGAAGTATTAAGGCTTTAGTTGTTGTATTATATTATACGAAGTATGAGGCATGACTGCAGGAGTGCATGCCCTGTCCAAAGAAATGTATACTTCATGTTTTCCGTATTCCTATTTGGCTTCTCACAGTCTTCAAAAATTAGTTTTGTTGACTATTTTCTCTTGATATATTTTGGGACAATTTTTTTAAGAAGATACTTATGGGAAAGTACTTTTGATGATAAAATGCTAATAGTACCTATCTTCTATATTGTCAGGGAGGCTGTGTATGGCATGGCTTTTAAGGCTAGCAAATGGAGTTCTGAACTAGCTTCGATTGTTTGGCATTAGCTAATGGGAGTATCTTGGCTCAAAACACCATCCTATTGACTTAGTTGCATGATGCTGTACAAACCCTTAGCTTCAACTTCATTATGAGTCATTGAGCAGATGAGCACCCTGCCACTTTGTAAAACTCTGCTCAAATATCTAATATTTTGGAATAGCAAATGAAAGGTCCAACCTCAGATTTTTCTTAAGCTACTCGATTTCGGATCAGATAACTTCAGCATGATTATCTGTTGTTATTAGCAAGATTATTTTAGGCTTGTACATTTGTTGTGTCTTCAGTGCTCTTATTCAATTGTTGAAGCCTTTATTTTTTTCTATTAATCATGTTTGTTTTACTTGTTAAGGGCTTAAAGCTAAGTTAACTTTTAGGCTTTTGAAGACTAGTGTAATAGTGTAGAACCCTCCATCACAAATAGACCTCCCCAGCACCTGAATTAGTGTCTAATTCGGCTAGGGCTCATGCTACACAATTTCCCTGGTTTTTTAATTATCGTTAGGGAATGCTAAGTGGTTTTTTTTGTTTAGATGTAGGAAGTTACATTTTCTTCAAATTTGCAATTTCTAGGGAGTTCTACTTCCTTTAAAGAGTAGAAAACTACGAGAAGTTTTAATTACCTAGAGGCGACTAGGTGAGAGTAACTTCCCCTGCTTTGTGTGAAGGAGAGAAGAAGTTGCACTTGATGTGTTCTTGTCAACGAAATAATTCAATAAGTTTAAATTTATGTCCACCAAAACACCGCTAAGTTGCTACGATGAATATAGGTCATAAATTCTCTCCATAAATCATGCATTTATTTCATTTAGGTATAAATTTGATCATTAGCTGCTAGGTATTATTATTAACCCTGCCCCTTAGTAATGAATAGGTCTACAGTTCAAAGCATGAATGTTCAGTTTGCAAATATTAGAGCAAGCAGAACTGTGATTCAAAAACATTGATATAATAACTTAGCCAGTAAAAACATACGAGTAAATTTCTGTAACTTGTAAGTAGTTAGAAATCTTTAAGTATGACACTTGAACATGTACCTTCACTCCTTTAATTAAATTAAAGGATGATCATCATAAACTCAGTCACCGCCTCTCGAGGCGAAAATCGGAGCGTAAATTTAATAACTAAATTAAATTTACGCATTGTTTTCTTTAAGAGGGACATGCATATGAACTCTCACTCTCATTCATTCAGTTTTCAGGTAAGTGTTTGGTGAATGTTTACATCTAATGTCATGAATGTTGTTAGCTAGGTGGAAGTTGGGTGTATTAATAAACGTCGATTACTATTTTTCCCTTTTTTAGGGAAGAAACCATTACGGTTGATATGTAGTACATCATTTATTTTTTATGATGAGAAAGTACCATAAGACAAGACTAGTAAGACTATTGGTAGCCCATCACTTTGTGTAATTACATGTTTATGATCAATGCAATAGTAATTAAATTTTCATTCTTTAACTATGCTAAATTTATTTGAATATTGATTGAGATGGCTCCCCATTTTATTTTTGGTACCCCCATATTATTTACACAACTTAAACTCATAGTTTGACCATTTAGAGTAGAGAGAATGATGATTTGTGATTAAGCAGCCAACTAACTAGTAAATTTGACATGATTGTTGCTAATGATCTATATATTTTTTTTGCAACATACTAAACAATATTATTGATATTATTATTATTATTATTTTTTTTTTTTTTTTTTTTTTTTGGCCTAAATAGCTATTAACACTCAACCTTATGATCATTAATTCATATGTTGTTGTGATTAATAAAAATTAACAAGAGAGGCTAAGTCTTGGCTTGAACAGGTCAAGAGGGCTCTGGCATGGAGGGTGCACATATTTGCAGTTGGGACATGTAGGTGAGGATCTGCACAGCATCACCAGCATATGGCACCGTTTGCAAGCGGTTGCAACCATCTCCTCTGCATCGTCTGCTGTTTCGACATCGATAGTGTTCGTCTTTCTGACAGTACTCAGACTCCTGAATAGATTAGGAGAAGCCGACGGTGGTGGTGAGTGGCTAGACTTCTTCTTGATCATCGTAGTTGTGTTCTTTTCTGATGTTGATTTTGAGATATTTTGGTTGAGTGAACCACAAGGCAGGTTTAGCTCAAGGTCTAAGCTCATGTGACAGTCTTTAGGACTTGATGGTTCTGAGCTTTCCCTTGGATCTCTTTGTGTTCTTTTTTGTGTTCTTGTGTTGTAGAAGTGTATTTCCCCTGACTGCATGCAATATATAGAATGTTTAGATTTTTTTTTTAAAAAAAAAAATCAAAATTTGACGAATTATGTTCTAATAGATGAACTGATGATATTTATAATGAGTACGAAAAAAGTTAACAGTTAGCCAAATAGCCATATCATGGGAAAATTTATTTACCTGCATATCGAGGCACCGTTGCCATTCAGATGGCAACGGGGTCTCGAGGTGAAGCTCAATATCAGAGAAAGATTTGGAGGCAAAGGCCGCTATGGCAGTGGCGGCCTTGGGATTCCTCCAATGTTTGTAAGGAAGGATCACCTCCTCCTCATCTTCTGTGTCATTCCACTTCCTTTTCATGTTGTTCTTGGAGTCATCAGTCGTTTCCGAAATCGGTTTCCGTTGATCATTTAGTTGAAGGAAAGATGTTTGAAATGATACCATCGTTAAGATGTTGAAAGTTGAAACACAGTTATCTGGGTGTGTTGGGTGTGAGATAAAGTGGGGGTGTGTAAATGTATTTGGGGCTTAAATAGGGCAAAGGATGTGTAAGGAAGAATCTAAGAGGACAAATATAAAGGTGGATTTAGGGTGGCCCACATTTATTAAATATATTAATACTACGATTTTCTGTAGTCTTAAAACGTTTGGCGTGCTCAACCAAATTGAAGTTGAACTTGAACTTGAAGTTGGGTTTTTAATTGAATTTACTGCACTGTATTTTGGGAGCTGCTCATCTTTTAAAGCTTGGATGGCGTAGTCCTAACCAACTCACTCTTCTCCTCTTCCTAGTCAATATTTATTGATTCCTCCTCACTAAATTGCATTACCTGATCCCGCTGACTATCTAGCGGTCTCTATTTAGTCGTCAATCGTCATGACTCTCCACTTTGTGTGTCTATAGGTCTTAGGTGAGATGGACTTGCATTCGTATAACTTCTTGTTAAACATTTGAGATTGTCACTAAATACTTAGTACTGTATGGATATGGACTACGGAGTCGCTACTTCAATATTTTGGTATCGTGATGAATTAGTATGTTGTATGTTGGTTTCATACAAGAGTTTGTCTATATCTAATGTGAAAATTGATTAAGACAATAAGTAATTTAATTGTGTCATATCGATTTGTACAATTTATTTAAGATGATTTAGACTCTATACCCATCTTCAATGGATTATTAGCGTTGTCGCTTATGTATAACAAGTAACAACTACAAAGGACATTAAAATAGTGGATGTAGTGTTTAAATTTTATACCATGTATCTCAACTTCCACACCCTATAAGAGTACTTGTATATCTTCTTTAAGTATTGAACGACTTTATAATCATGAATACTCAATTTTTATTCCATTGTAATTGTTGTGTTAAAGACTTAATAAATTATACACACATAATAACAAGTAGATTTGACAAACCTTAATGTAAAGGTCTTTGCATTTCTTGATCGGTTAGTCCTTTGACCTTTAATTTTTAAAAAGGTCAAATTCGCTTCATCTATCACACTTTGACTATGAAACCTTGTTTGTTAATCCTATACAGTATGGATGTGCGTCAATTTCCAAACATATCTCTTTATTTATTTTTTTCAAATATTTTTTAATGGTAGATAAGTTTGGTTGGTGGACGTGGTATGATCGAAAATAAATTAAAATCACCCATCCTACAAATTTCAATTCAAGCTGTCTAAATTTGAAAAAATATACTTTAAAAATTTTACTACCTCTGATTCATAGTACGAGTTTTTTTTGTGTTTAAGTCCCTGTTCGCTTCAAATTGTAAAAATAGGCCATGACTTATCAAATTACAATTTTTAGCGTGTAAAAATCAATAACTACTTATAACAAAAGGCCAATATGTGTAAAATTAAATTATTACAACTAATATAAAATAATAGAATGAAACTTGTTCGAATAATAAATATGGCTAATAATGTAGCCTACTAAATCCAACAATACATAAATACATATAACTACTCTAATAACTCAATTCAATAAAATAAAAAAAAAATCAGATAGATAGCTTGAGGAGCACATTACTATCAATCACATATCAATATACTTGGGTAGCTGGGCTGGGTTCAATATGTATGTTAAGATTTAAGAGCCTAGGTAAAATTGATCATGGATCATCCTAAATTTAGGAGAGAGAAAATAATAATATTAATATAATCATATTAATAATTAATAATAGTACGTAGCTTAGTAAATAGAGGCGGTGACGTTATAAGAGAGAGAAAGAGAGGGAGTCATTAAATAGAGGGTCTGTTGTACAGTTGAAGGAGCTAGTGTCTTCAATGCCTTACTGATCATTTTTAATGGCCGGATTCAATTCCAATATTAAGGACTTCCTTCAATATTATCACATTCATATTGAGTGACATCAATACAACTTCCGCAATTGGATGGCGCATACATAACTCATAAGCCGGACGTTCTCTTTTAATTGTAACGTAGAAGATCAGGTGGATGTATAGTTTGTAATGAGATGAGATAGAGAATTAGAAAGTGATTATCAAAATAGAGAGAAAAATCAGCCAAATATAACTAATCAGCATGTTTTCTTTTAATTGCAACATTAGAGGTCAGGTTGATAGAGAGAAACATATATTAGCCGAATAAACCAATTTTTGCAATTATTTTACGACTTTTATAAAAACGGGGGAAGTATGTATTTAATACAAAGCGAGAATTCATAAATATTTTTTTTGAATAGAAAAATAAAAAATGTTTCTTATAATAAAAGCATTCAACACCCCTTCCATTTAATAAATTTGATCGTCAGCTATTATAACAACCACATCCCCATGACCTATGAATCCAAACACTTTAAATACTTTGTTCAACACACAATAATAAACATCTATGATCTATCCATCCATTCATCCTATAAACTTTAATTCGTTTTCAACACCCTTTGCTTTTATTAACAACTACATCCACCTATACGTACTGCTCCCATGTCCCTCTCCCCGTTTCTCTTTTCTTTCTTACGTTAGTGAGTTACTGCATGCAAAATATCTTTGTTTACCGTTCCGTAGATTGATAGGTACCTATCTGATATGACGTTAATGATGAATGCATGACAAAATTATATGTTGATTGGAAAGATTAATTGTT